GAAAAACAACGAAAAGGATTTAATCATAAGATTTTTAAAAGTATTAAAAATTAATTTTGATGTATAACATAAAGGAAACGAATTAAATTGGCATTTTAATGTTATCTGTTTTTTATTTTAATGCCTCTGAAGCAGTTTTACACAGCTCATGACTACATATCTGGTAAATTTGTTAGCATTATTATGACAAGAACTTAAATAAAAAGGGTAAAGTTTTAATAATTCGGTTTACAATTTCGCGTTACTTTTATTGCTCTTAAACGTGCTCTCAATACCCTAAAAAATTTGCAAATATACCTAATTAATTTATACTTTGATGCAATTCTTATTCTGATCATTCCAAGGTGGGACAGCGTTCGAGATAGACGTCTCAATCGCTTCGCTCTCCGTTTCCTTGCTTTGCTGCCAACCCGCTACGGTACCGAGTTCATCGATCTCGCCTCACGGGCTCTGGTTTTTTTTTTTTTTTTCCTTTGGTTTTCGCCTTGCAGAAGCGTCGCCTTAACTCCACTGCTGCATCCTTCGCTGGATAAAACAGGTCGTATTTTATTCTTTCTTCTGATTTTCTTTATTTACCGTGCTAATAAGGGTACCTTCTGGTACGGCCTCTAGTTAGGCCTTCTTTCCAACCTATGTGCCTCACATATTAAGCAATATGGACCCAACAAACATAAATGAATAATAATAACACAAAAAAATTACATGAAAATTAACTCCAATCTCAGAAAATCCTCACATGAGACATCTCAATGATGAACCCAACGTTCTCAAAATATTAAGTCACAAAATTACTTTATCCAATGACGTCGAAACTATCAGATCCTTGGTGGAAGATATCCAAGATATCCGTAACGACCCAATAGTGATTATGTCCCCTAGTGATAAAAAGGAACTAAACTTTCTCCTTATAAAAGAAATTAATCAACTGCGTATGCAGGAAAACGAGATGGGCAATGCAAAAATAAACGAATTACAAACCTCTAATGAAAAACTCGCTAAACAATTTGAAGAGATTAAAAACTTCTGCGACATAATTCAATCCACTAGTGGTTTCAAAGAACAAAGAAAAAGAAAGGGCCCACCATAGACAAACGGATTCGACTCCGATGAGGAAGCCTTCCTGAAAAAACAGCAATCGACATTAAACAATTAGACTACCAAACAGACGGACATGCATTTGAACAACAAAATGATCAGCCACTCAGCGCACTACCACCCAAAAAGAGCAACCCCCCCAAACAGAAGTAGTGACAGCATTCCCGCACATAGAAAACCAAACTCCAGCCCAAAACAGCAGAATGATAAAGTGCCCATATTGTCGTAGATGACGTACCACAAGCGGTGAATTTTTAAAAACTTAACAAAAAGCAAACCGGAACAAACAAACCGAAAGAATAAACTGGCGCCTTAAAAGACGGCGCCTGAAATACATCTGCAGACTCTGACTCAATCGTTCATTCAAAATAGTTTAAGAAACAAGCTTATGCGCACAGCTACTTATTGCCCGAAGATAAGTTTTAAAAGTCATAATAAGAGCCTTACCCATCACCACAGATCCCAAACCATCACTCAGAATGCTTGACAAAGGATCAAGGTTAACTTATTAACTATTAAAAATAAAAGAAAATAACCAATCCGCTTTTTTTTAGTACCTAACCAAATCAGAAGAAAATAGAATTATTCAAAATCAAACGCATAGGTTATTGAACGTATCAAGGATCATTGGCAGAACCTGTCCCTCCACAATGCTATAGATGCCAGGGATTTTTTCACAGTTCCCCGCTCGGACCATATATGGGTATTCGTCCGTTTCGGAGCAATCATAAACCTATAGTATCTATAATGCTCCCATAGTCGCGACCACCCTCCATATGTTCTCAATGCAAAGTTCTCCTCACCAAGCCACTCTCAAATTGTCGGCAGACCAAACACAAACAGTTCATTTCAGCTCATCCTCCACAGCATCACTCCCTGGACTAACAGAAGACAAGACTTTCCTCCGCTGACATCAAACAGTAACGAAAATCTCGCTCAAACCTCCATTCAATACGAAAATCCAACAGAAGGAACTACCAGCACAGCAGAATTCTCTTCGCTAAAAACAATCGACTTCTCTTCGCTAAAAACAATCTGGGCAATAGTGATACAAGGACTCAAAAACATTAAAACGAAGAAATCACCTCTTGATAAAATAATCACAATAGTCGAAAATCATTGAAAAAATAGGAAATCATCTTTAATTCTAATAAATCCAAAAATAGGTGCAACATAAAGATCCTCTCTTGGAACGCAAACGGTCTTTACCATAAAAAAGATGAATTATCCAACCTCATTATTGAAATTGAACCTGACGTATGAATTTAAGAAATATAAAATGCAGTCAATGCATCAGTACGACAAGTTGGCCTTGTCTATTCTAACCAAAGAATCTCTAAGGAGAGATTCTTTGATTCTAACCTCCTTAGAAATTCTTTGATTCTAACCTCCTTGAGTACGAGTAAGGAAATAGAATGAAGATCAGTAACCGTAACAAATAATAACCGTTAGAAATTTGGCGATTGGGTATTTGCTACGCTCGTTTTTCAAATGGCTGTGTAAACAAAGTGCAGTATGTTCAAAATTCTTCGTGGGAATAATGTTTCTTTTTAAAAGATAAAGTTCTGGAACCGTTTGGCCCTCATTTAATAGGTACTAATTATTTAATGACTAAAATATATTTGTCGTTTTCATGAACATGTGGAAATCATTTTCTACAAAACCTCATGTTCAATGTTTACTTTTGCATGCATCAAGGAAGAAATTTGTTTACTTCAAAATTTTATTATTGTTAGATTCTGAACAAATTAGTTTTAACGAAACATAATTTTCTTAAAGCTTGTAATTCTATTTTTTAATCCTAGTATCCGCTGCATACGGGATTTGGCTACTTTTGGCGACTTTATGATGAGCAGTAAAAACGAAACATATACGATAAGTAGTAGTAAACGGGTCAAACAACCTCAACGAATTATAGTTAAAGCAGCTATCACGAATTTTACCCATGATCCTCTTAAATGGAAAGCTAAATCTTCGAACATATCCACCGAATCAGTCACCTAAGTTAAAAGTACCTGATTGGTCGCAACTAAATCAGATAGTATAAATTAAAAAAGCTTTTTACTATTACAAAAATAGTAAGCAACTCATAACTTTAGCATTATCTGAAAAAATTCACCTGAAAATTCATAAAGAACTTCTCATTCACTACTTATCACTTGGCACCTTACAGAAACCTAAATAACCGGATTAAAAAAATTATAATAAACAGATGATGTTTTAATAAAAGGATAAAACTTTTCATAAGAACTCATATTACTTCAATGCAAACTACAACACATTTATAATCTGTAGCGATTCCCAATTCCATAAACAACCATTAAAATTCGATTATAGCTAAGGAACTAATAATTACAAGAAAAATGTGACTATTATTTTCATTCACTTAATAAATCGGAAATTTATTTTCAATGATTGTAACACTAATCATAACTATTGCTGGATCATTCATAATAACACTCCTGCAGTAATACCATTCAAACCATTAACATCCAAAAATTAACTACTATGATGTTGAAAATTATATACTCACTCCGCTAGCAGAAATCTATACCAGTCTACCTTATCTACCTAACTTTCCCTAATATGCTCATATCATGACCTGACAATTAACACCGACTAAAATGCACACTTTTTCATACTACTCAAGTTTCAAAAACTTTTAAACAAGTCAGAGGATTGCCAAGGGCTTACATCCAGCTCCCGATCTTAATATCTTTTTTTTATTCAAAGAATTTAACTTCCAAAAAATCTTATTATATATTTTCTATATTTTTTTATATGTCTGATTTTTTTTACAAGTTTGCATATTTATCTTTTTTTAATCTTCTATGTTTATTTAACTTTACTTGAATTCGATTTCAAATACAATTTCCATGTTTAATTTCTACAATAATATGTACTGAATGCAAAACATGAAGTGTCGGGGCGGTTACCGAGTTTAAAGGTTTCTCTACATAATGATTTTTACTCCAAATTGATTGACTAAATGCTTCATAGATGTTCTTGAGTATCAGCATGGTTCATAATCCTTCTATTCGCGGAAATATTTGGCCTGACTAGAATTGCCGGTTTGGCTTTAACTTATAACTCGGTAAGACGAACACCTTCGTATTTACTATTTTTATCAATTATTGTCGTTGACGGGAGTTGGTTTGTTCCCCTTGAAAAGTCAATAATTTCGGTCAATGCCAATGATTACATTTTTAATTTTTCCTTTACAATGAAATTTTATTCTTCATGATGATTAACTCATCCCAAAAACATATAACATTTGTTTCAAATACTTCAAAAATCTTTCAAAATATAATTACCGTATGATTCACCTTTAAAAATAATTCTCTTAATTAAACTTAGGAGATATATAATCATAATCAATCTGTTTAGGAAATAATATATAGTTTAATAGTATATAATGACGTAACGTTTTTTGGGGTCATTTTGGTGTTGCGATAATTTTCAAATCGCGCAAGGCTCACCGTATACTAGGATTTACCAAGAACTTTGTGCTTTCTTTGAAAGACGAATACTTGTTTAAATTTATTTTAAAATTAATATAAGGCTTACTCTTTGGAATATGGTAATTTGCGAAAGTTTGGTGACCAACCCTGCTACAGCAACCTGCTAGTTTTGTTTTCACGAAGTAAAGGCAATTTGGTTAATCTTTGGATTATATTAATTTAACGATTTTTTTGCGAAAATTTGGCAACCAACCTTGCTACAGCAACCTGCTAGTTTTGTTTTCACGAAATAAAGGCAATTTTTTTTTATAACTCAACCTCTTTTTTTTTTCAACAATCTGCTAGCTAAATTACGCTTATGGAAACGTTTCACCGTTTTAGCCTAACTGATATGAGAAATAAAAAATCACCCGTTTACTACTCATCACATATGCCGCGTTTACTGCTTATCATAAAGTCGCCAAAAGTTAGCAAAATCCCGTGTGCACCGTATCCTAAAAATAAACCGAGAAATAAAGATAAATATTTGTATGTAGTGGGCAATCAGAATAATTATGTGAAGTAAGTTAATTAAAAAAAATCATTAAAGGGTGAACTAGAATATTTTACAAGGTAGCATTTTCAGTTGATCTTTACAATATGGTAACTGGTAGTTTGGCGACATTTTGGAAGTGATAAAGGTTACTACCTGGCACTTTGGTAATAATGTGAGCAGTCTCATTCCGATTCCGCATTATTTTTGTGAGGGAATGAAAGATCATGGGAATGTCATGTGATATTAATGGACGAATTCGGTCTTTTCATTGGCAAAGGGGGGAAATCTGGAAAAAATCTGGAATTTGTATTGGCTTTTCTGGTTGTGTGAAACGTGTTCGTGAATTTTTGCATCCCATGGGCCGTACTAAAGTGAATTCGAATGGGTTTAGTATGTATTTATTGAATGTTGTGCTCATTTATATTTAAGTAGGTTTTGAATTTAATATATTTATTACATATAGTTATTTTGTGAATTTATGTTATGGATTTGTATACGTTTAGTTGAAGTAATGTGCATGGACATAATTTAAATATTCAATAAGTATTGTGGTTTTCGGTATGAATCTTGGTGCCGTGCATAATGTAATAGATATTTCTGAGGTAAAAGTTTTTGGATATTTTATTTATTTTATATGTGGAAATGTTCATTACTTTTTCGCCGACAGGTAATTTCATAGATGTTCTTTTTACCGGTTTACAGATTGAGAAAATTTCATTATTTTCGTGAATTTTTCTAATTTATAGAAAAAAGCGTGTACATGATATAGTGAAGTTGTTCACAATGCCATTTGGCAATTCTGGGATGTTTTTTGAGTAACAATAATCGGCGTGTACATGGTTGTGATATTTTAAGTAAATGATAGTTATTTGTGAATTTTATGTTATAGGAATTTGTAACGTTTAAGTTGAAGTAAACGTGCATGAAATAATTAAATATTTGATACTAAGTATTGTAATGCGCGGATGAATTCGTGGGACGTGTATAATGTAATAGATGTTATAGTCAAATTTTGGATATTTTATTTATTTAATGTGGAAAAGTTCATATTGGAAAGGGTAAATACTTGTCACGATCAGGTATTTCATATTGTTCTTTTTACCGGGTTAAAGATTGAGAAAATTGTCATGTATTTTCGTGAAATTTTTCTATTTATGAGAAAAAGCAGTGACTGATAGGAAGAGTGTGCGAATGCCCATTTTTGTGCATTCTGGGTTTTTTAAGTAAAATAGTCGCGGGCGTGTACATGGTTTATTGTGTATGTTTTTTTGAAAAAACGCGTAAGGAGTATGGTTTGCACTTTTCCCCCAATTTGGCAGTGGAATTGTCAGATAAGCAGTTTGTTAGATAAATTTCTAGCATAAGTAATCGGCTAGTAAGTGTTGGAAGTGGTTCAGAGATAAAAAGAAAAGAAACATTCTTACTTCGTGAATACAACATGGCGGCGGGAAAAAAAAATAGAGGGTTGCTGTAGGAGAGTTGGTCGCCAAATTTTCGCCAAAAAACCGCCAAGTTACCATAATGTACAGATCAACCGCATTTTCAATAGAGTCAGAATTAAAAGTATGTTAACTATTAAAAATACAGAAAAATTAAAGTTTAATTAGAATTGCAAAGTTTAATTAGAATTGCAAAATTCCATCTTTAAAATTGAAAGTAAATATCTTCAAATGTGCTTAAGAAAGGAGTCAAAAGTATGTAAAAACAATGCTGAGAAAATAAGGTACTCTTCTGTTATTGGAATCAGGTTCAGAAATGTATTGTGTCAAGTGCAGAATCACCCATTTATTTGGTGCATTTTGTTTGGCACTTTTTAATAGAGTAAGAATAATAGGATTTTTGTCAATTTCCTTTCACTTTTTAAGTGAAAATCCATCGATGTGTACATGAACAAAGTCAAGGTAGTCCACAATGCAGAGTTTCTCTAATGTTTTTTGAAGTGAGAATAGGTCGATGTGTACATGGATACCGAGTTCATGCAATTCTTAAAAATATGCCAAGCAGTGGATGATTCTACACTTTCCTCAATGTATTTGTATGTGCATATATGTGTATACACATACATTTTTACATACATATATATATCCATACATGAACAGATAGATCCATCCATACAAACATATTCCTGATAACAGAAGAGTACTGAAAATAAGTATAATTATTTTGTATTTAGAAATAAATTATTCTTTGAATATTTTAAGAGACGTCTTTGCCTTTAATAATTGCTTTCAGTTACCTTCATACAGACATATTAGGGAATGAATTTAATCTCGTGTGAGATCGCTCTGACTTTTCACTGCTATTTTTAGTTTCAATTTTTGTAATTATCTCATGCATTATTTCACCAAAATCTTCCTAACAGTCTCGCTGGTCTCAAAGTAGTATCTTACTACGGTTTATATGTGGCTTCTGGAGCAGTTTTACATGGTTCATGAATGCATTTCTGGTAAATTAGTTAGCATTATTACGACAAGGGAAAAAAAGGGTAAGATTTTAATAATTCGGATTCTAATTTTGCATTACTGTCATTACTGTTATTAACAAACATGAGTAACACCCAAGAAGATTTTCAAATCGAGCTAATTAATTTGCACCTG